ATCAGTCTCAGGACGGTATCTCATGGCTTTATTCAGACTGTTGGGGGTTGTGGCCGGCCCAGGGCCCCTCAGTGAGGGGCTGCAGGTGACACAGCCCGCCACCCGCTCCCGTGCCAGCAGGCTCCTGCCTCCTTCCCTGCCTCATTCTGCAGGAAGGATGGAGGTGGAGGATGGTGTTTAAATGGTGGAGTGGAGGAAGGCTCTGGCAGAGGGCTGTGACCACCTGGGGCCGCAGGAGAGGAAGGTACAGACCCCCCTGGACGGGCAGTGACCCTCAGCCGCCCCCTCTCAGGGGTTTCCCCTCAGCGGCCCCTCCTCAACACTTCCCCCGGGATCTCCCCTCAGCCACTTCTCCTCGGGGGTCTCTCCCCTGAGCCTCGGGAGTGTTCCCTCAGACATTTCTCCCTGAGGATCTCCCCTCAGCCCTCCCCTCCCCCGAAGATCTTCTCTCAGCCATTTCTCCTCGGGGGTCTCCCCTGAGCTATTTCTCCTCAGGGGTCTCCCCTCAGCCATTTCTCCTCGGGGGTCTCCCCTCAGCCACTTCTCCTCAGGGGTCTCACCTCACCCATTTCTCCCCCCGCTCCCCCCTTGCCGCCATTTCCCCTCAGCCCTTTTCCCGCGGGGTCTCCCCCGTCCCCCCCCAGGGGCGCGGCCCCGCCCCCCCCCCGCGGCAGCCCCGCGCGGTGCCCGCGCGCCGGCGGTGACGTCACAGCGCGCTCCTGCCCGTGCCCGGTTGAATGACTGAGCGCCGGGGGGAGGGGCGGGGAGGCCGCGCGCGGCGCCCGGCCAGGCGCAAATGGGCGCGCGGGCCGCGGCGGCGGCGGGGGAGGGGCAGGCGGCAGGTGGGGCCGCGCCCGGCGGCGCCGCGAAATGGCGGCGGGAGGGCCCGGGGGCCGCGGGTTCGGGTCCCGGGGCGGCCCCGCCGGAGCAGGAGGCGGGCGGCGGGGCGAAGCTGGGCCGTCATCTGCCCTCGGGAGAGGGTAGTGCTGAGCGGAACAGCGGTGTCTGCAGGCCGTGGGGCGACCCCATCCCCATTCTCATCTTCAGCCTCATGTGCATCCTAGTCCCCACCCCAATTTCCCATTCCCATCCCTATTGCATCCCCATTGCCATCCCCGTTCCCCATTGCCATTCTTAGCTCTCATCCCCATCCCTATCCCTGCTCCTCAGTGCCTGCTGCAGCTGGCAAAGCAGGACCCTTGGCTGGTGTCACCGTTCCAGGCGGTGCCCCGGGGATGACCGAGTCCCACCCGGTGTCATGTCCAAGGCACACACGGTGTTTTGGGATGGCCTTCCCACAGCTTCCTCTGCCCAGCTCCTGCCCTGGCCATCGGTGTTTTCCCAATTGTTGCCACAGACTGTTTCTCTCACCGTGACAGATCCAAGCCTGCCCTGCTCCATCCCGGGTGCAGGGACAGGGACAGTCGTCCCTTGCCCATCCCACTGACCGTGTCACCCTCGCACACCCCACTGTATCCCCACACACGCTCCTGCCACGTTCCCACTCTCCTGGCCTGTTGCACTGTGCCGGTGCTGTCTCTCATTCCTGATCAAACAGAATCTATCACCTACTTCTTCAGTGTTCAAACAAGCCACTTTAAGCTTTTTCATGTGTTTCCAGCTTGGCTGTGCCATGAGGCTTAGGATTTATGGTAGCGTGAGGCAGCTGGGGTGCTGTGTGTCCTGCTCTGCAGTGGTGCCTCAGTGTGTTTTCCCAGCTCCCTCTTTCCATGCACTGCCTTAGACTCAGAGCTGAAAACTCATACTTGGAACCTTCTTGAGATGGAGAGTTGCATTCCTTATCTGGGAGAGAGGGATGGGAAGGGTCTGCTGGGTGTGGGACACGTTTCCCTCCTCAGCTTAGATCAAGAAGCGTTTGGACAACGCTCTCAGGCACATGGTGTGATTCCTGGGGTTGTCCTGTGCACAGCCAGGAGTTGGAGTTGATGATCCTTTTGCGTCCTTTCCAACTCAGGACATTCCATGATTCTATGACAGCAAAGGATTAAGCAAGAATCAGTCTCTGCCTGTAGCACTCGGTCACTTCCAGTATTTGTCCTATTTCCACCAGCACTCCATGGCTGGTGATGGGAGCTGAGAGCATGGGGGGATCACAGCGCTGAGGCTGTGATCCAGACCCATAGGATATAAATTCCTTGTGCTGTTTGGATCACCCAGAGCTTCCCCATGGACTCCAAGCGAGCCGGACTGGATGCAGGTCCCTGCCCTTGTGGCAGTGGGAGTTGCTTGCACTGGGGGTAATTTGCCCTGTTGGTGTGGTTTAATGGGTGGCAAAATGAGGGACAGAGGGAGGAGATGATGGCACTTAAGTTTTAGGCTGGCTTGATGCAAACGGTGTGCATCCATTGTGAGCACGTGGCCAATATTTATGGGATCAAATATCTGCTAATAGTAGAGAGGTTTAAACTGTGAGATATGGAAACGCTCTAGAAGCAAGTGTCCCGGTGTTCATTTCAGTGCACACGTGGGGGATTAAAGCACAGGCTGTCATTTGCCACCTGAAAGCTGGATAAAGCACAGGGAAAAATGTCTGCAATGTAGCTGAATCCTCTTGTCCATGCCCAACAGGAAGGTAAGGGCTTTATTGGAGCATCCCGTGTGTGATACCTCTGGGAGCTGCTGGAGCCAAACAAGACGGACACAACAAATGCCTTCTGGATATAATCGTTCCCAGGCACAGCAGAAGGGAAGGAAGACTTTTATAAACAATTATCCATGCAGGCTGCAAGAGTAGCATTTGCAGTAGCTCTCCAGGGCCCTGATAATACTCCCCAAGACATGCCAAGATGGATAGGATTTATAAACCGTGGATGGGTATTTCCTACATTGCGGCTCTCTCAGCAGTATTACCCCATGAAGCTCTCTGCAGAAGACATATATGTTCATGAAAACATTTTATAGCCCTGTTGTGCTGGGATTAATATCAGATAAGAAAGTCCAGACCACGTGTACTTTGTTCTTCCAGCACATTTCCGAGTCCGCAACTAGAAAGGAGCCCACAGGAGCAGGTGATTATTGACTAATAGTCTTGCAACTTGATGCAATTTTTGGCATTTCATAGAATGTTTTCACAATAATTTACAGGCAATGCATTTCTTCAGAAGCAGACTTACGTATGCTTCCAGAAAAGGTGTCTCAATCTACAGATGTACAGATAAAAATGATATTTATTGGTAAATAAGGGCTATTATTCAGTGTCTTGTGTGGCATTACTCAGGAAGTCGTTGGTTGACCCCAGTGAATGTTTTTGAGTCACCCAAAATGTGTTGCAGGTGCTCTGCCATGGGGGTGGAGCTCATAAGATGTCACACCTCATCACAGTGGTGTAAAACCCTTTGGACACCCACCCAATCCTCACCCCTGAGATCCACCTGCACTGTCCACTCTCACTCTCCTCATTTTTTAGGACTGACCTTCAGAAACTACCCAGCCCAGCACAGTGTAGGGAACTTCCTGGACAACTCAACCCTGTAACTGGAGGGTGTTGAAGGAGATGTGATATTCAGGAGGTCAGAAACCCATCTGCCCTTGTGGGCCCAGGCTGTGGGGGAGAGAAGTGATAACACAAGATACCAGACCCAGCTGCAACTACTGACACCAAGAGAGTCCACCTCATTTCCGAGGCAATTACTCCATTACTACAGCCTGTTTTGTTGAAAATGTCACAATTTATTTAATGAATAACATATGTGAAACCCCATGGCAGGGGGGTTGGAACTGCGTGATCTTTAAGGTTCCTTCCAACCCAGACCATTTGAGAAGACTGTTGAGTCAGAAGTTGCTTCAACAGAATCACTGTTTCATCTTTCTGAGGCTCATATGAAGCCGCTTTGACTGACACCACCATAAGAATGAGCAGGGCCATCTCCAGAAATCTAATTCCCCTTCCATAAGAAGGGGAAACTTGCTGCCTTGCAATGTTATCCCAACACAGGACTTTTTTGTGTGGAGCAAGCTGCAGGTTTAGTACAGCAAAACCTTCTCCCTTCAGCATGGCCACGAAATTTTGCACGCCTTGAACATTCCTCATTGCCATCTGCTCTGAGCTCCACCACTGTGTGCCCAGAGTGTCCCTGTGCATTGCAGGGTCAGTGGTCAGGGTCAGGGGCCTTTCCATATGCCCATGGGAACCTGCAGTACCTTCAGTCCATGCCCTGTTTTAAGGCAGTTGGTATTTGAGGCATGTAGGGGTGCAGGAGCTGCACCTTTGCTGCTTGCAGGCCCCTCCCCAGGCAGGAGTGCTCGAATGGGCGCCGTGCAGGGACTCTCTTTACAAGGGGAACTGAGCATGTTTTGCTGAACGTGTTTTGTTTTGCATTAGGCTTATAATTCTAGGGCTAATGTTTGGTTTGGAAGCTCAAAGCCCTGCTCGAGCCCAGCTCTAGAGCAGGCAGTGGTGTAATAGCCATTTAATTCCCCTGCACTGTAATCTGATGGTGGGATGTGCTCCCAGGCTGCTTTTAGGTCTGACTGGGGAATGAAATCAATCACAGAGTGCACGTTACAAGGAAAGCGCTGTTGGTGTCAATTACCTAAACTCTGTGAACGTAACTCTTCTAATTTCCTGTTAAATCAGTAATGTTACCAATCTCAGTCTATTATTTTAATTAGGACTGTGACTGCAGTTGCTAGGAGCCGAGCGAGCGCAGACAAATGCGAATGTGTAATTAGTCCCACAAACGAGTGGCAAGTTGAATGTGTCAACATCATGGATAGTTACAACATGGGGTGCAGCAGGAGGCCAAGTGATTTGGGCCAGATTCTGATCTCACTGGCCTTAGTGCCAGCCCAGGAGGCTCTGCTGAGGTCAGTGCTACCCTGGACCTGAGCTGGGCTGAGGGAATCTGGATCTGGCCCCCTGGTCATCACAGCTTCTTGGATCTTCACCCTGGGTTATTTTTAAAATGTCTGATGTCCCATCTTGTTTGATTAATTTATTTTTTTTTCTTGCTATAACGCCTCCTCAGAGCCAGTTACCCTGTAGTGAACGCTGCAGTCAGGTTAGCTGAACGTGGGTGTTCCCAGCGCCAGTCGGCACCAGATTCCAGCCTTCCCCAGGGACCGGCGCTCCTAGGGTGGATATGGAAATGCTTGGCTCCCTCCTCTCCCTTCCTAGCTGTGAAAGAAACCTCTCAGCTTCTGTCACATCTGACTGCCTCATGCATCCCAAAAACAGCCGCGCATTGACAAGGGAGACAGGCGTACCGACAGCAGAGCAGCGTTAGCTACCAACCTCGCCGAAAAATACAGAATCCCTGCCTAAATATAGAGCTGAACGGGGAGGGAAAACAGTGGGGCATTGCAGATCCATCAAAATTAAGAATGAAAACCTGAAGCTGCTGCTCATTGACGACCCCCGGCTGCTCACAGCGAGCGCCGTGTGCCCAGAGGTCCAGCCTGCTGCTGGTATCCAACGTGGAATGGCACAGGAGAGGGAACACTGCTTTTATTAGCACTTGGCCATCAGTCAGCGGTCCACGCTCCACAAATAAACGAACGGGCTGGGTGCATGTCATCCCAGTTCACGTGTTACAGAAATAACACTGGACTGGAACCAGAGTTAACACAGCTGAGGTTTGGGATGCGGCTGATTGGAGAAAGGGCAGATGGCAGAGCCTGGTTGGGCTATATCTGCTCTTGGAGGCAAACCTGATTTACAGCTCAATCCATCTTCTACACTCTAATTTCCCTGCTTTAGTAGGTCACTCTCCTGCTTCACATGGTACTTCTTTTGGAACAAATTGACTAGGAAAAAGTCAAGGGCTTAGTGTATATTGGATGGACTGATTCAGTCACCTTTCCAGGACAGAAACAGTATAGAAATAGTATGAAAAGAGCAAGTACCTTGAGGGTTTTGTGTGAAGGTTATTCCCAGGGGACCTGCGGACCATGCAGTGATACTGTGGCAACATGACCATTGCACTGCATGTCCTCATCTGGGGCTGGCTGTGGCTTCATGCTCTCACTCATGGGTTGCTTGGGCTGGGTCGGGTTTTTTCTCCTCTCTTGTGACATTTAAACAGAGGCCTGGCACTGTTATTGGATGCATTAAGCTTTGAGCCCAGTTCCTCAGTGATGGAGCCTCTGCCACTGCCCTGCAACAGCCACTGTGACGTTGCAGGAGGTGCCTGACCCGAGCCGTTGTTTGCTTCCCGCTTAGTTTCCTTTAGTCCCGCAGGAAACCGCTTTAACCAAAACCACATTGCATGTGTGTTATATAACAATAACCCGTTGTTACTGTCACCAGTGGGTTTTCAGGCCCTATCCCAACACACGTGTGCCCTTGTAGCAGAAAAGCCCATCTGGCTGAGCTAGGATCATGGGAAGGAGCCGAGGCTCACCAGTCCCGCTGGTCAGGTCCATCCCAGAGAGAGCCCTGGACTGGGTGGCTGTCACTTCAGGCCTCTGAGTTGCTGCAAGTCAGTATACTCATCCAAAGAGCCCAGGGGCTGGTAGAGCTCTCTGTTGCCTCCACACACCTTGAGATGCCTGTTTTGTGCAGAAAATTTGTGGAGAATCACCATCCCCATACCCTTCTGGCCTGAAAGCAGAATGGGCACTGCAGGAGCCACAGCTGGTGGGATGCTGCAGCTCCCCACGTGCTCTGTTGATCCTTCACTCCAGCTTTCTGCAGGAAAGGAGGTGTAAACTACCTGTACTGTCCTTGCTCCAGGCTGGCCGGGCAGCCCTCTGAGGTGAACCCTCTGATTAAAGTCTGTGTGATGTCATGGATGTGCAAAGATACCCTTAGCTGCAAGATGGTGCAACTGGCTTGTAATGTGCATGTTAATAAGGCTATTAAGGTTTACAAATATTCTGCTCTTCCTTACAGTTTATAATTTAATTAATTGCCAATTAATTGTCTTATTTTCCCCCCATGATTGATGTCAGTGAATGGGATTAGGCAGCATCAGATGACAGAGGAAGGAGGAATGAATGCAGCATTCTATGATGGTATGAGAGGAGATGTTTTTATGGACAAATCCTTTCTGACATGGATGAATACCTCAATGAGATATCACAGAGTATCAGCTCAATGCATATTGTAATGGGATCATTAGTGAAGGTACCAGCTGTGTGAGGTTTGTATTCACAAACCACGAGTAAGTAACGGGGAAATATTGGCTCCTTGGAAATGTTTGCCCAGCATAAATCTTTCCTTTTTTGAGAGAGCTGGTGCTCAGTTTACATAAACTGGGAAACAATTCTCTAAGACTTTTGGGACTGAAGTAGCTTCACCCCTTCCTTTGGTGAAGGAACAGAATTTAAACGCAGCCCTATTCAGCAGTATTTTTCCAGGGAGCAAAAGTAACAAGGAGGGTCTTCCATCAGTGTATGTGAGCCAGGCAATGGCTCCATTCCTAAAACAAGAGGCATCGTTATTTCTTAAGCAGGGAAGGTGGGATGGCTGAGCAGATGCTGTATCTTCTTTTCTCCCAGGATTCTGAGTCTCTCACCAGGCTTGTTCACACTCTGCCCACCCCCAAGTGCCTGTTTGATGGACAGGTCTGTGCATCACGGGCATCCAGATGTGCTGGGAATATCATTCCCTCAAGATGCTGTTGTGGCTGTGGACAGGAGCAACTTGTAGCCACGTTGGCCGAGCAGGTCACTGAGCTCAGGTCAGCTCTCAAACCTGAGGTATGAACTCAGAGATGCTGCAGGAGGAACTTCAGAGCTTTTGCCTTCCCTGAGTCATTCTGGGTGACCAAAGGCAGCCAGCTCTGCGTGGGAATGGTTTGCTGTTAGCTCCCAGAGCCTGCAGTGGTGCCAAGCAAGGGGATCTGGGGTAAACAAAAACTCAGTCTTCTGCGACTTTTGACTGGACTTTGATCGCATTTCAATGGAATAACCCTGGAGTGATTCCAGTAGCTTTGGTGTGAGCAGGATCAGACTGTGAAACTGGGCTGCACAGCAAACAGCCTGAGTGTTCCTGCTGGTGTGGTTGAACCCCTGCTTAAATTGTCACGAACTAATGGGCCATTTCTGAGGCTGTGATGGGAACGTGGAGCCAGCCAAACCCCATCTGTCTCTTTTAATTCATTCCTTCCATTTTGAGGACTTAGTCTTTAGAAACAGCTATCGGTGATTACATAAAAGAGATTAGCCAACATTTCTGCATAAATCAAGGCCAGTGCAAGATGTTTCCTAAGTGTGTTGCGAAACCCAGGGCTGGTGGAGGACAAGTTCCTCCTGCAGCAAGTCTCCCCACACCCAGCACGGCCGGTGGTGCAGGGGCTCGGTGGGATCAAGGGCAAAACCTTCCTGCTTCTCAAAATGGCCTTTCAGACAAAAAAAACCTTTCGAAGAAAAGATGTGCGTGGTGGGGCATGGTCTGCCCCACGGCTGTCTGGTGTGGGTTTTTTCACAAAAGCAAATTTTCTATCCAAGATATGTGATGGAAACAATGAAAGAAAGGAAAGGGCTGGAGAACCTCGTTGTAAACCAGATCTCCATGTGTGAATTCAAATCAATCTCGCTGCTGAAGGAAGAGCCAAACCAGAATGTGTTACATTCACTCTTTTAGCACAGTTGCTAAGAAAATATCTTGATGTGAACACTGTTGGATGACTCAACAACTCTTTTTTGTTGTTGTCGTTTCTTTTTTCATTTTGAGGCAATTTCATCATTTTTCCTCTCTTTGTTGCTCTGTTAACATGCAGGGCGAGGTTGTCCCAAGGTCAGGGAGTTGGAATTTCCCTTCCAGTATTGTCTTACTTCTCCTCTCCTTTTTTTCTTGCTTTTTCTGCTGCAGGTCAGAGCAGATCTATAAGGAGGTTGTTGGGGGGAAGGCTCAGCCCTTCTCACCCATTCGATCTGCTCTGGGTAGTGCCAGTTTCCTGATGGGAGAGCACCTGACTCGGCACTGTCCTTCCACCCCATCATCAATATGTCTGCATCCCAGCTTCCCTCATGAGCTTTTAAGCCAGAAATACCAAAAGCAGCCTCAAGTTTTTAATTTCTTCATTTTTGAGGAACTGAACTTGAAGCAGTGCAGCTGAGTTTCAATAGGGCCAAACACCAGTAGCTCCCATTAGCAGCTGAGCACTGATTGCTGCTTAAAATCAGGCATGGAGTGTCTTTAATGGTATTTATTGTTTAGAGAATTGTGCTTTGAACCTGAGCAAGACCTAGGAGAAATCAAAGAAAGGGGGATTCACACTTTTATTTTCAGGTGGGAAACTGAAACAACGTGAAATTTAAGTTCTGCCATTTAAATGTATGTTGGCTCCTCATGATGAAACCAGCTCCTCAAAGGCATTTAGTAATATTTTTTTAAAAAGCATAAAGGTGCTTATTTCCTATTGAAATGTGCAGGAAACATATGCCCAGGAATAAATCTGAAAACGAAGGTGGTTATCTTTCTTCATCCTTTGATCTCTAACATCTTTCAAAATCTGGCCTCCAAGTGATGTGCCCAAGGATGCACGAAATCAAGCACTGAATCTTTATCTCCTGCACTTGTGCGTCTCTGCACTACAATTCACAATGCAAATACATTCCTCCTTGGGTCTAGTCCTGGCTAAGGAAGTCAGAAAGACTAATCCCAGAAATAAGGGTTGTGGACAGGCATTCACAATTGCCCTGCACAGGCACTCTCCTCATTTCCTCCCATCCAGGTTGCAGCTGCGTTTGGCCCGTGATTCTCCCCAGATGTGTGATGAACTGAAAGATCTATCCCAGTACTTGACCTACAGGGAGGACCAGGGAGCCAGTCAATTCTAAACCAACAGCCACAGAGAATCTGAGACCTTTTCATGCTGGAAATACTGCAGTGAGGAAGGAGAGTGCCTGCAGACACCACCCGCCTCTGTAGTGAAGGGAAATCTGAAGTTTCCCCTCTGCTTTTTCGTGCACAACAGCATCTGTACGCCTCATTTCCATCTTCACAGCTCCTGTAATTTACATAATGAACATTTGCAAAGCCTGAGATCTGGGTTCACTTTGTACCACATTTACTGTAGATGACCTTCAACGTGCCATCAGAAAAGTTTCCCAGGCAATTTTCCCAAAGGATATGAATGCGAAACCTAAGATCGTCAGGAAAGGAGAAAAAGGAAATAAAAGTAGATTTCTGAGATATCTGTCATTCAAAGATATATTTTCTCTTCTACAGCAGAACAAAAATATTTGACTTTAAAAAAGAAAGGAGTTTTGGCTTTAACAACTTGCTTCTTTAAAGCAAGTGTTTGTATCAGGTCCCTCAAGAAAGTGACTTTAATTAGGTTTGCCTTCCTAGATCTGCAGAAAGAATTTCCTTGATAAAAATGCATTTGAAAAAATGTTAAGTAGAGGGGAGGAAAAAAACCCAGAGAGGCAATTTTATTTGCATTCCTGCATAAGCAATGGCTGTAAAATGAGTTTATCCACCTTGGTCCCCTAATCAGGTAATTAATCTGAAAAAAAGTCTGGTGACAGATAACTGGCAATCTAGCAGAGATTCAGGATTGAGGAGGAATCCTGACCTCAAGGGATGGGAATAGGACATAAGAATGAGAACAAGCAGCTGAAGCCACTTATGGCTCCTCTGAAAGTGTCAGCTGCAGCTCTGATTGTGCCTCCTGGTAGCGCTCCAGCAACCACAAGGTGATAAAGCAGGAACTGACCCATTTTTGCCTATCCTCAATGAACTGTCCTCTTCAGCCCTCTTTCAGGTGTCAGCAGAGCTCATCTGACAGAGTCCTCAGAAGCTGCATCTCCAATATTATATTGGAATTTATGTTATACTTACGTGGGCAGAAGGAGGCAAACTCCTATAGGTGTTGCTTGGGTTCTGGATAACCACAACTCAGGGATCATCTCTCATCTGAGGGGGTGCCTGTGAGTTTGCTTTTTGTTTGCTGTTTGGGCTATCACGCTGCTTACTGCTCACGGCAGCAGTGGAGGATGCTTTGAAAGAAGAGATGTTTTATAATTGATTCAGGACTCCTGTCTGTACAGAAAATGCATGGAAAGCTGAAATACAGAGACTTATTCTGGAGATGAAGAAAGGTGCTCATGTCAGCTGTCAAAAGACTCTTCAGACAGAATGAATCACAAACCCACCATGCTGGAAATGCTAAAGTAGATAAACGTGACACTGTTCCTGTTGCTGTAGGCCAGGCATGTATGAAGTGTTGCTTTACATAATAAGCTTGAGAAGGCAAGCAAGCTTTTCAGATTCCTTTGTGCTTTGAAAATAGTGCCCTGTGTGCCTCTTAGGGCAGGTAGGTGTGTTTGCACACTGTCAGGTAATTACAGTGTGACTGGTATTAGCTTGTATCTTCCTACCTCTCCTGTTGCCAGTGGTTTATCCATATATCCTGTGTGATTGGTGCTACTGTTATAAGGCCAACATATAGGTGAAAACTGGAATCTGGATGAATCTCCACCAGCTTGTTTCTTTTAGTGTGGTCTGGCTCTTCGACTCCAGTCATGATCTTGGCCTGCAGACAGATAATTGTATAATTCAGTATTTGGAAGACAGGCTGCATGTTGCAAACTTTCCACCTTGGGACCAAAAGGGAAAGGGGGGGCGGGTTGAAGGGAGAAGAGGAATGCTGCTGTCCAAGGGGCCCTGGGAAGGACCTCCTGTCCTCAGTGGCTGCTGTGTCTGGCACAGCAAACAGGACTGTAAGAGGAGCGTGTGCGTGTTGGATGAGGTGTCCAGTATAACATTACCCTGAGCCAAACAGGGGATCTCTGCAGCTCCCCTAACCCATTGTCC